CTTACTGTTCACTGGGGAATGCGGTCGATCTGCTGTCCATGAAGCTGCGTGAAGCTCCTCTTTGTTGTCCGTGAATCTCCTCTCTGCTGTCCGTGAAGATCCGGATGGTGGTCTGTTAGGGGATCGCAGAGATGGAGCTTATATGGGAGGGAAGGTGCCAGGATGTCTGGTAAACAAGCTGCACCTGGTGAAGCCGCGTGATTCACGGCAGCCATGCTGAAATGAGTGGCCAATCAGCGTGAAGCAGGGTGCCAGAATGTCTGGTAAACAGCTCTCCAGATGGCGCACCTCTGCCGCTCTGCACGTAGGCAATGTAGTCCAGTGGTCAACCTTTTGCCCTCTCCATTGGGAGACCGGGGTTCGTCGCCCGGAGCTTACAGATCTTTTAACTTTTTATATGTGACAAGTCCAATCAATAAAAATTATAACCCCAAGTTGTGGCTTGATCCACCGGGGTTCATTTTGCCTGCTGGAACCTTTTTTTTTCTTTTTCCCCTCTGCTCTTCTCCTCCAGACAACCGCGGGGAATTGGAGGTTCTTAAAGGGGAATTGATCAACCAAAGCTGGGCAGATTCCTTATTGCTACCACCATGAAGAAATGCTTTAAACACATGCACCCAAACCGGGAAACAGTCACAGATATAAGCATTATCACACCAAATATATGGGTCACTAGTTCTGTAGAACCAAAATAAGGACCGGGCTGTCCATTGCATAGGTCGAATACAGAACCACCATGCCCGCTTCCGGGTTACGTGACCGGGCCGGTTCAGCGGTAAAGTGTCTCCCTCCCGTGCGGTGGTTCGGCAGTTCAAAACCCCGTTGTGCTTTTGGAACTATACAGTGAAATGTGACTGGAGGTTTTAATTTTTTTAAATAAAAATATAAATAAATTGTAGCCTGGTCCTCCACGACCACCAGTGACCATGGGCCAGACCCGGTTCAACACACACTGTCCTCCAGAACCGAGGGGCCCATGCAGAGCACCATGGACCGCCCTGGTTACCCACAGGCCTGCAGAAACAGCAGGCCCGGTTCAGAACCAGTGGGACAGGTGTCGACATCAGGGCACAACACTCGGCAGGGCCTGCTTACCCAGACTCAGGGTCCAGAACCAGGGGGGCCCATGCAGCGGGCCCTGGCTCCCCACAGAACCAGAGGACCAAATGGAGATCCTCTCTAAAGAGACAGAGCAAAACGGGCCTGCCTGCATGCAGACGGGCTGAGCACACCCTCTGACAACCACGTGCAGGGCCCCTGCTTTTTTAAAATGATCATTAAGGGGACAGATGTGAGCATTAAATGGACAGTATATGGCACAGCCATTGACCTTTGACCTCCAGAGAACGTCACACAGGGCCCGTGGGCTCAGATCGGTGACCTGGAGCATTTTAAATAGGAAAATATACAATATTTATAGGACAGAACTCGGCATCACAGGGAACAACACTCGACAGGGCCTGCTTGACCTCCAGAGAATATAAGCTCAGCTGGCCTCCAACTTTGTAAAACCACACCCCGTGCTGAAACCCACACATGCGTTTTCCCAATCCTCTGAGATAACCGGCTTTCAACTTCAACTTTGAAATAGGAAAGATTAAAGGGGAACGTAGGTGGGCATTTAAAATTCAGCATTAGACTGCATTTACACTCTGGGATCCACACACTGCGCCTCCAGAACCAGCGGAGCAAGTGGAGCTCCTCTACCCAGAGATGGAGCACTCTGGGCCCGCATCAACTTCCATGGAGCAGCCCCTGGTTCTCCAGAACCCACATCATGTCCCACTTACCACCTGTTTTGCCCACCTCAGCCCACACTGGCACTCAAAAGCTCTAAAAACCCAATAGTGACCCCATATGTCCAACTTGGGATCCCTTTGGCCCACCTCACCCCCCGTCAAACGCTCTGAAAACGTCCTAAAAGCACTTAATACACCCATCTGGCCCTCTTTGGTCCCCTTTGGCCAACAAACGTGCGCCGGCCCGTGCAATACCTTTGATCCCCTAACCAACTGCTCTAGTCGTCGGACTGGGTGGTGGGGGGTCATCGAGAGAGTGTCTAACGCCTAACCCTAATCTCCTATCCTGATATAACTTCTCTAACCCTAAATCTCAGACCTATGCCTAAACCTAAGTGCTGATTTTAATCTGATTCTAAAAATCCTAATCTCTAACCCTGATATCAATTTTCTAACCCTAAATCCTAGGCNTTTTAAGGTTAGTGGTTTTGTTGGTTTCATGCTTTTCATTATTTGAACTCCTTCAAGCCACTAACCTAAATCTCCCTTCTTAGAAATCCCTGACCCATGGTGGATGTGCTCCTGAAGTCCTGAGTTTTTAATAAACTGTTTAAATCCTTATTCTGTGTTCTGGCTGAAACTTTGGGTCTTCTGACTGGATCATTACACAATGCCTTGTATTGCCTGGGAACATGCAAATCGCAACCGATGAGAGGGTCGTTTGGTTCCATTGTTAGCCTGTAATATCTGAAACCTGTCTATGATTGTTAAGGGTCGGTCATTAAGGAGGTATTGTTCACCGGCTGAAGAGGGGAGGTACTATGTTCCTGTGTGATGGGGTGGGGGCTGTGGTGATATCTGGAAGGGATCATCTCTATAACTAAACTGTACGTTTTTGGAAGCTGGAATCTGAGTCGACCACCTCTGTTTAAAGTCAGTTTTTCTCCCTTAACATAGATGGCTTCCTTCATGCCCCTCTCAAACAACCTATTTTCTTTATCCAGTATGTGAACATTCTGGTCCTCAAAAGAATGTCCTTTGTCCACAAGGTGTAGATGTACTGCAGAGTCGTGTCCAGAGGAGGTCGCTCTTCTGTGTTGGGCCATGCGTCTGTGGATAGGTTGTTTGGTTTCTCCAATATAAAGATCAGAGCATTCCTCGCTGCACTGAACAGCATATACCACTCCGCTCATATTCGGTCCAAATATATGGGTCACTAGTTCTGCAGAACCAAAACAAGGACTGGGCCGTCCATTGCATAGGTCGAATACAGAACCTTCATGCCCGCTTCTGGGTCACGTGACCAGGCCGGTTCAGCGGTAAAGTGTCTGCCTCTGGTGCGGGGGTTCGGCGGTTCAAAACCCTGTTGTGCTTTTGGAACTATACTGTGACTGGAGGTTTTAATTTTTTTTTATAAAAATATAGATAAATTGTAGCCTGGTCCTCCACAACCACCAGGGACCATGGGCCAGACATGGTTCAACACACACTGTCCTCCAGAACCAGGGGGGCCCATGCAGAGCACCATGGACCGCCCTTGTTACCCACAGGCCTGCAGAAACAGCAGGCCCCGGTTCAGAACCAGTGGGACAGGTGTCGACATCAGGGGACAACACTCGGCAGGGCCTGCTTACCCAGACTCAGGGTCTAGAACCAGGGGGGCCCATGCAGAGCACTATGGACCGCCCTGGTTCCCCACAGGCCTCCAGAACCATGGGGCCCGGTTTAGAACCAGTGGGACAGGTGTTGACATCACGGGACAACACTCGGCAGGGCCTGCTTACCCAGACTCAGGGTCCAGAATCAGGGGGGCCCATGCAGCGGGACCAAATGGAGATCCTCTCCCCAGAGACAGAGCAAAACGGGCCTGCCTGCATGCAGACGGGCTGAGCACACCCTCTGACAACCACGTGCAGGGCCCCTGCTTTTTTAAAATGATCATTCAGGGGACAGATGTGAGCATTAAACGGACAGTAGGCGGCATAGCCGTTGACCTTTGACCTCCAGAGAACGTCACACAGGGCCCGTGGGCTCAGATCGGTGACCTGGAGCATTTTAAATAGGAAAATATACAATATTTATAGGACAGAACTCGGCATCACAGGGAACAACACTCGGCAGGGCCTGCTTGACCTCCATAGAGTATAGGCTCAGCTGGCCTCCAACTTTGTAAACCGACACCCCGTGGTGAAACCCACACATGCGTTTTCCCAATCCTCTGAGATAACCGGCTTTCAACTTCAACTTTTAAATAGGAAAGATTAAAGGGGAACGTAGGTGGGCATTTAAAATTCAGCATTAGACTGCATTTACACACTGGGATCCACACACTGCGCCTCCAGAACCAGCGGAGCAAGTGAAGCTCCTCTTCCCAGAGATGGAGCACCCTGGGCCCGCATCAACTTCCATAGAGCAGCCCCTGGTTCTCCAGAACCCACATCATGTCCCACTTACCACCCGTTTTGCCCACCTCAGCCCACACTGGCACTCAAATGCTCTAAAAACCATATGTCCAACTTGGGACCCCTTTGGCCCACCTCACCCCCCGTCAAATGCTCTGAAAACACTCTAAAAGCACTTAATACACCCATCTGGCCCTCTTTGATCCCCTTTGGCCAACAAATGTGCGCCGGCCCGTGCAATGCCTTTGATCCCCTAACCAACTGCTCTAGTCGTTGGACTGGGGGGGGGGGGGGGATTTTGGGATGGGGGTGATCATCGAGAGACTGTCTAACGCCTAACCCTAATCTCCTATCCTGATATAACTTCTCTAACCCTAAATCTCAGGCCTATGCCTAAACCTAAGTGCTGATTTTAATCTGATTCTAAAAATCCTAATCTCTAACCCTGATATCAATTTTCTAACCCTAAATCCTAGGCCTAACACCTAATCCTGAGGAATATTCTAACCCTGATTCTAATTGGACGCTAAATTTGAACCGTTTATCTGATAAATCCTATTTAAGCTTAATTTTAATATTGAATTAGGAAGACTTCTAGGGAGAGCCAGGATGTGTGGATATTATTTAAACCCAACCCTAATTTTATTTTCTAACCCTAATGTGTGGTGTCTAAGTTTATTGCTGCTTTGCATGCGTCTTGGGGAGGAGCCAGAAGCCCTATAAAAGGGAGGACTGAACCTTTTTCTTATCATTTCAAGCTTGTGTTATGTGAAAGTTTGACTGGAACAGAGGATGCTTAAACTAAATTTGATGCTGTGGGAAGAAAGACAAGTCAAGTACAAAGAAAATAAGTAAATACTTACCGTTTGTGGGCCTGAAGAAGACCAAAGAAGTCGAAACGTTGCCAAGGAAACACACGATGACAGCAGTCCTAAATTGGGACACATAAGAACACTAATTAGCAGATAGTAAGGGCAAGAATGGGGGTGCCATAACACAAGAAAAACCATACTCACCTGTTTGTCCTGGATGATGATGGGGGCTCCCCTCTGGCGGGAGTTGCCCGTGCATTCCTGGTTGTCCCTATGGGGCAACCAGCTCTACATTAACCCTAACCCTAACCACATTTTCTCACAATTAAAGCATTCTATATTAAAATATTTCTTCTCTCTAAACTTAGACTTGTAAGCTTTGTAATTTGCAGTCATTACTTCATCTGTTTGGAGCCTGCTAAGGTAGCATAGTGTGCACTCAAATCTTCTCTGTATTGCCTTAATCTCATTGAAAGTTAGTGTTTCTTTTGTCTGGGTGACATGCACAGAAAATGGGTAGTATTCATCTGTGAGACCTTTCAACACCATCGCTGTCAGAAGCGCATCACTTAGTGTCTCTTTAGCTCTGTTTAATGCGGCCACTATCTTTTCAACACGGGCTAGATAGACCGCTAATGCTTCTCCTTTAGCCATTAGCACATTCGTTAGCTCTGTGTACAGCCCCACAATTTGCGGCTTTACTTCTGACACAAAATGGCGTCTCAGTATTTCTAGGCTTTTCTTGCCGTCATCTGGTGCCTCATACAGGATGAGCGTTAACGTTTTATCGTCCAAACAACCACACAGTTCTGCATACGCCAGTTCATTTCTCCTACCGATCTCTGCAGCTTCATGTGTATCCGCTGCAACTGCCTGCTCTCTTCCCAGTACAGCATCCTTGAAACCGATGGTTTTTAAGTATGCTAAAAACCTTGTTTCCCAAATGTGGTAGTGGGCTTCATCTCCATCAAAACGCGGCGGCAGTCCCCTTCCATGTACTGCCATACTCGAAACTTGTCTTGGCCCATAACCTTTTGATTCTTCAGCAGAGGATCTCCTACCGCTTCCATGGGAGCCACTGGACACTTCACCATCATCTGCACCACCAGAATGCATCTTTTATGTAAATGTTAACTCACTTATAAGATAAATAAGACACTGGAGACAATACTTCTTAACTTGACCAGTAGCCACACTGCCCGCTCTCGCTGAACACAGAGAACCAAGAGGCTCCGCCTTTATTGCACTTATAAACATGTAGCCCTCCGCTCCACAAAGTAGTGCCAAACAAAAATATAACAGTGTTAAGCATCGAACTCAACAATTAGAAGCCTTACAATTAGAATGTCTTAACACAGTCTTTTACACCAATTACTTTTAATAGGACTTGAAAACACTTCGTATTCATATCTATAAGCTTCAGTTAAGAACAACTGTAACTTCAAAAGTCAATAATATCTACCAGATTAAAAAAAAATGCTGAAGACAAATATGCTCTGAAGGAATTTTATTTTGTGTAGACAAAACAGAATACTCAAGAACAAATTAAATGCAATCTTTAAAATATGTAAAAAGAGACTCACAAATTGAGATGGGACAACTTACAGCTTTGACATTTGAAGTTGCATAAAAATGGTAGCTGGCACTTGTCTTTTGACAAAATAAAAAATAGAACTAGCTTTAATGTATAAGAAATTGTTTAGTTGTTCTGTCATTTACTTTATATAGTATTCAAGTTAACAGTTAATAAAACACTTGAAAAGACTTGAAATTCAGTTTCAGACCTGATGCATAATTTGAGGGTTACTTGTCTTAAGACTTGACTCTGACTTGAACTTCTTTATGCAAGACTTGCGTCTGGACTTAAGACATAAATGAGATTATTTGGTCCAATTGCTTAGTCCAATGTTGTTGATTAATATTGTTAAGTATTATACTAAGGTGGTGATAAGGATGCAGAATCTCTGATATAAGATGGAGCTTAAGGGTTATATATGTGAGAGGACATCTATCAAGAGTGGGAACATATAATCCATAAATGAACAAACTGCATCATACCTGAAATATAAATTTTTTTATGATCTGAAATTAACACTGTTGACAAGCACAAGTTTGTTGTGGCTTTCATAATATCTAAAAGTAGAATGGAAAGCAGATCTGTCCATCGTCCACTGTGATTACTTGCTCATCCAGAAGGTGCAAATCTTGCAAAGTGAATGACTAGACGCAATCAGCAAAAATCCTTTGATTAAAAAAAACAAACAAAAAAAACAACAACTTCAAACCAATCTTTCTGGGTGATCTGATTGGATTGATTATGTTATGTGCCTTGAATTTCCTAATTTTGAGCCGGTGGCTTAAAAATTTGAGTTATTTATTTCTTCAATAGAGAGTGAATATGATTATTTAAAAGATTAGAAAAGATTTGGATAAGATTGATGTTAAATTTCAATAATCGAATATTATAAATTCTTGTACCCTCTTAATTAGTTTAGTTTTGATTTAATCTTCTTGGCAATGACAGTAGAAAAAACAAACACTAAATCACAAATATTGAAAAAAATAAAATAAAATAAAATCTTTAAATTCTGACATCACAGTTACAGTCCAAACATCTCTTTAAAATAAACTGCTTCAACCTAAACCTATAATTGAATGATCAGCACACAGTTCAGCCTGTTTCTTCTTCCTTACAAACATCACCATCTCTTCCACCTGAAGAAAATAAAAAAAGACAAATACACAAGATGAATTCATTTTTCTATACTTTGCCATATTCTAGTCAGTGATGCTGCACATGTAATCTGTGTTAAATATTGTGAAGGTAAAGAGCATGGCTTTGGTTAAAGTTATACAAATTAGGTATTACCATTCGTCTTGGAAAAAAAACAACCTATCAAACCTTTAATTAGAAACAAAGGAAAAGGCTCCACATCTGCAGAGCTAATAACTAGGGGCTGGAAGGTGGTATAATCATTTTTTAACATGTCACAGAAGACCAAGATGTGCTAAACTAATATTGAACTTCCAGTATTTGGTCATGTATTGTATTATGTAGAGTGGGAGTTTTCCAATGTTATAGCGCCATTGTTGTTATTTTACAATGGATGACCATGAAGGTGGCATGTGAAGCCATGAAAGTTGCAAAATAATATGACCTAGTCTTGAACAACTTTTTAAATTAAAGCAGTGCACACTATCCTTGTACCACAGTGCCTTTGAGTTGTTGACAATATTCTCCCACACTGTATTGGCCAGTGCATCTCTTTGAGCTACAGTGTATTAGGAGGAGGCCTCAATAACAACAACTTTAAGCAGCTAGACAGGCTAGTTATGAATGACTTGGTACTGGGCAGGATATCATCCCTTCATGATACATGACAGTTAGAATGAACAAACTATAGCCTTTTACAGCATTG